CCAAACCCTCCAATCCATGGGATCCATTCCCATCTCTAATTCCTCCAAACCCTCCAATCCATGGGATCCATTCCCATCTCTAATTCCTCCAAACCCTCCAATCCATGGGATTGCATTCCCAGCTCCATCTAATTCCTCCCAGATCCTCCAATCCATGGGATCCATTCCCATCTCTAATTCTTTCCACATGCCCCCATTCCATGGGATCCCATTCCCATCTCCAAGCCCTCCCACATCCCCCATTCCACAGGATCCATTCCCAACTCTAATTCCTTCCACACTCTCTGAATCCATGGGATCCCATTCCCATCTCTAATTCCTTCCACATGCCCCCATTCCACGGGATCCCATTCCCATCTCCAAGCCCTCCCACATCCCCCATTCCACAGGATCCCATTCCCAACTCTAATTCCTTTCACGCTCTCTGAACCCATGGAATCCCACTCCCATCTCCAACCCCTCCCACATCCCCCAATCCATGGGATCCATTCCCAGCTCTAATTCCTTCCACACTCTCCGAATCCATGGGATCCCATTCCCATCACTAACATCTCCCACACCCCAACCCATTCCACGGGATCCCATTCCCAACTCTAATTCCTCCCACATCCCCCATTCCATGGGATCCATTCCCATCTCTAATTCCTTCCACACTCTCCGAATCCACAGGATCCCATTCCCACCTCCAACCCCTCCCACCTCCCCCAATCTATGGGATCCCATTCCCACCTCCAACCGCTCCCACATCCCCCATTCCACAGGATCCCATTCCCATCTCCAAGCCCTCCCGCACCGCAACCCATTCCATGGGATCCCATTCCCAACTCTAATTCCTTTCACACTCTCCAAATCCATGGGATCCCATTCCCACCTCCAAGCCCTCCCACATCCCCCATTCCACAGGATCCCATTCCCATGTCCAACCCTTCCCACATCCCCCATTCCATGGGATCCCATTCCCACCTCCAACCCCTCCCACATCCCCCATTCCACAGGATCCCATTCCCATCTCCAGCGCCTCCCGCACCCCAACCCATTCCACGGGATCCCATTCCCGATCCCACACCTGGCTTTGCCGCGGCTGCTCCGGCGCAGCGAGGGCGCCTCGGCCTCCCTCTCCTCCTGCACGCGCTGCAGCGAGGGCGAGCGGCTGTGGGCGCTGCGGCCGCTGCCCGAGCTGGCCAAGCTCCCGTCTCCGGTCGCCATCCCGGAGGAGACCGCCATTCCAGAGGCCGCTTCCTGCATCTGGACCAGGAGCTGCGGCGGGAGGCTCCGGAGGGACGGCACCGGGGAGTACGAGGCGCGGCTCTCGGCCTTCAGGTTGTTGTCGCTGGCCGAGCGCTGGAGGACGCGCGGCGACGCCAACCCGCCGGAGCCGAGGAGCCGGCGGCGCTTGGTGTAGCTGGGAGTTTCTCGGAAAGGCACTGGGAATGAAAAGCGGGAATGCGGGGTTAGGGTGCTGGGAGTTGAGGGGAAATGATGGGAGAGGGTGGGGGAGAAGGTTGGGAATGGCTGCGGAGTTGGGTTGGGAGTTTCTCGGAAAGAAGCTGGGAAAAAATGGGAGTATTTGATTAGGTGGGAATTGAAGGCCCAAAAAAGATGGGAATA